TCATGACCTAAGTGAAAGTCGGACGCTCAACCGACCAAGCCACCCAGGCGCCCCTGGTTAAATATATTCTTAAGCTCTTCATAGATCTGTGAATCCTTTTTTTTTTTTTTTTAATTACAACTGAGGTAAAATTGACGTATAACGTTATGTTAGTTTTGAGTGTACAGCATAACGATTTGATATTTTTATACGTTACAAAATGACCATCATAATAAGTCTAGTAGTTAACATCCATCACCGCAGTTACAATTTTTCTTGTGATGAGAACTTTTAAGATTTACTCTCACAGCAACTTTCAAATATGCTATACAACGTTATTGTGTACCGTAATGCATGGTGACTATAGTTAATAACGTCATAAATCCTTCCTTACAAAAGTAGTTATTGAACATTTTTAAGCAATAGAAACGTTTCTTCAAATGAACTTTCTTGGGGAATTCTGATGTATCAGATAGAGAAGCTGAGCTGCTGGGGTTGGGACACCTCACCCCCTCAGGGCCCTGGATCCTCCTGGAACCAGAGTCCAGCTTGAGAATCAAGGGTCCACTCTGTGTCTTTAGAAAAATGATTTTAAAAAACCCCCACCATATTCTGTTGTTAGACATTTAGGTAGTTTCCAATTTTAGGGAAACCTGGAAATGAACACTCTTGTAGCCCAGTCTCTGTTTCTTTTGATAACTTCCTAAAGCTGACTTTCTGGATCAGATGCCTGTATTTTCAAAGGGAAAAAAATATGAAATTAAAAAAAGTCATCTTTATTATAAACAGCGTTTATTTTATTGAGCTGTAGAAAGGAATGGAGTGCTGGCCTGCTATAATGTGGATGAACCTTGAAAGGTTTTGTGGTAAGTGAAAGAAGCCAGACACAGAGGGATGCGTATTTGAGAATTCCACTTGTGTGAAGTGTCCAGAACAGGCAGCTCCACAGAGACAGGAAGCAGGTTGGTGGTCACCAGGCTGAGTGGAGGAAGGAATGCACAGTGACTGCTAATGGGTGCGGGGCTCCTTTTGAGGGATTAGATAGTGGTAGTGGTTGTATGAATGTTTGAATATATATATATATTATATAAGTATATATATGTAAAACATACTAAAATGCACTGTATTGTATACTTTAAAATGCATTTTATTGTGTGTGAATTATATGTCACATAAATAAATAAAAATAATGCACTTTTAATGTAAAAGATTTTGAAGAAAGACTGCAAGTCCTGAGTCTCTCCCTCCCGAGTCCCCTCCCTGCTCCGTGTGAGTGCTGGCCAAGGTGCAGGCCCTAGAGCGGGAACAGCCCCGATATACAAAGGGCCCTTGCCTCGGGAGCACTCTGGTGGGGAGACCAGCGTTAATCCAAGATGATTATACACTCTCATGAGTATTATGAAGGAAAAGACCGATGAGGTGAGGACAGCAGTGATGGGGGTTAGGATAAGGCTCCCGAGGACATGACCTGTGAGTGTTAGAAGTTGATCAAGGCTGGACACTGGCGGGGAGAGTTGTTTTCTTCAGGGTCATGGCCCTGAGGTGGGAGGGCTGGAGAAGATGGTTGGAGCCCAGAGCGAGGAGGAGAGAGGAGAGAAGGGGGAGCAGGTCCGGCAGGCTGGCGGGGGCCAGAATGATGAGGCCCTGTGGTCCCTACGCAGGATTTAGTTCTTCTTTCCTGAGGAGCAGTAGAGAGCCATGCACACTTGCGAGCCGAGGGTAACAGTTGTAAGCAGCTTTGTGTCTCAGAAAGATTTCTCCAGATGCTAGGTAGAGAGCTGATTGGAGAGCTGATTGTTTTAGCGGCCTGGTCAAGAGGTGATGGTGGCTTTGGTGGCTGGAGGTAGAAGGAAGTGGACAAATCTAGGAGACCTTTAGGATGGAAGTACATAGGCTTTAATATGACCCCCAGCCTGTGTCAAGGATGATCTCTGGGTTTCTAGTTTGTCTAGGGGTATCATTTCTAGAAGCGAAGCACATCAGTGTATCTCTCATATTTCCTGTGTGAGTAAATATGTCTATAGTGATTGCTTTTTGAAAAAGAAGACAGGGGCGCCTGGGTGGCTCAGTCGGTTAAGCATCTGATTTCGGCTCAGATCATGATCTTGTGGCTCGTGGGTTGAGCCTCATGTCAGGCTCTGTGCTGACAGCTTGGAGCCTGAAGCCTGCTTTGGATTCTGTGTCTCCTTCTCTTTCTATCCCTCCCCCCCCCCCGAAATAAATAAACATTAAAAAACTTTTAGAAAAAAGGCAAACAAGACCTACCCCAAATCCATTCTGGATTCCCCCCTACCCTTTGGGGATTTCCATGTGGGTACGTATCTACCTTCACCATATTCCATTGCTTGGTCTACCATCTTTCATTTAACCAGCCCTCCAAACAGGACATATAGGTTGTTCCCAGGGTTTGACCATCACCAACAATGGTGTCATGAATATTCTTGTCTTGTGGGAGGGTTTCTGTCTGAGAGATTTCTTTTTTTTTTTTAATGTTTTATTTATTTCTAGGAGAGAGAGAGAGACAGCGTGAGCAGGGGAGGGTCAGAGAGAGAGGGAGTCCCAGACTGAAACAGGCTCCAGGCTCTGAGCTGGCAGTCAGCACAGAGCCTGACGCGGGGCCTGAACCCACGAACCGCGAGATCATGACCTAAGCGAAAGTCGGACGCTTAACCGACTAAGCCACCCAGGCGCCCCTCTGTCCGAGAGATTTCTGGAAGTGGAATTACTGGGTCAAAGGCAGTGCACGTTTATCAATTTGATAGATGTCAAAATGTCCTCCACAAAGCTGGGATTAGTTCACGTTTTCTTGAATAGTGTATGTAAGGGCTTGCTTCTTGACCCCTCTCACCTGTGTTATTTATTGGCACTCTCATTCTTTGACCATCTGAGTGAAAAATGACATCTTTTTGTTTTTTGTCTTCATGCTTTATTTTGTCACATTTCAGAGATTACATTGATAAATCTGCCCTAATTTAAAAAAATTGTGGCAAAATATACATACCATAAAATTTCCCATTTTAACCATTTCTTTTTTGTTTTTTTTTTAGTATTTACTTACTTTTGGGGAGAACCCACATGGGGGAGGGGCAGAGGGAGGGGGCGGAGGATCTGAAGCAGGCTCTGTGCTGACAGGCTGACAACAGTGAGCCTGATGCGGGGCTCAAACTCAGGAGCCACGAGATCATGACCTGATCTGAAGTTAGCCACTCAACCAGGTATCCCCATTTGAACTGTCCCTAAGTGTACAGTTCTCTGGCATTTAAGTACATTCATGTTGTTCTGCAACAATCCCCTCCATCTGTCTCCAGACATTTTCTGCTTTCCAAACTGAAACTCTATACCTGTTAAACACTGACTTTGCATTTTCCTCTCCCCAAGCCTCTGGTGATCAGTAATCTGCTTTCTGTCTCTATGCATCTGCACCTGTCATCAGTGGAATCAGATGGATTTCTTCTTTTGTGGCTGGTGGATTTCACTTAGCATAATGTCTTCGTAGTCCGTCCATATTGTTGTGTATGGCAGAATCTCCCTCCTCTTTAAGGCTGAAGGATACTCCATTGTATAGATAGACCACATTTTGTTTATCCATTCGTCCATTGATGGATCCTTGGTTTGCTTCCATGTTTTGGCTATTGTGAATAATGCTGCTGTGAACAAGGATGTACAAATATCTGTTGGAGTCCCTGCTTTCAGTTCTTTGGATAGATACCAAGAGGGTTCATTGTAGGATTATGTGGTGATTCTATTTTCAGTTTTCTGAGGAGTAGCCACCCTGTTTTCCACGACAGCTGCACCATTTTACATTCTCTTGCAGCCGTGCACACGATTTCAGTTTCTCCACATCCTCGCCAACTCTGGTCATTTTGTTTTTGGATAGTGGCCATCCTAATGGACATGTAGTGACACCTCATTGTGGTTTTGATTTGCATTTCTTTAATGACTAGTGATGAGGAACATCCTTTCATTTGCTTTTTGGCCATTTGTTTATCTCTTTTGGAGAAATGTCTTCTCAAGTTTTTTGCTTAATTTTTAATTGGGTTATTTGCTGTTATTGTGAGTTGTAGGGGTTCTTTATAGATTCTGGATATTAATCCCTTATCAGATATATGATGTGCCAATATTTTCTCCCATTCTGTGAGTTACTTTTCACTCTGTTGGTAGTGTCCTTTGATGCACAAAAGTTCTAGATTTTGATGCACCTTGTTGTAATTTGTAAGTTTCCATGGTATGCTTTTTAAGTTTTTTACATGAAAGGAATACATACATATAGTAAAAATAAATTGATGGTTTGGAAAGATATAAAAGTAAATGTCATCTTTTACTCCAAGCTCCTAGTGCTTCTCTCTGCAAGTAATCACAGTTAGCAGTATTTTTGTATGTCTTCCAAAAACCTTTGTATGCATGAAGCAATCTATATGTCCTTTTAGAATGTATATTGAGGGGCACCTGCTGGCTCAGTCCATAAAGCATGCAACTCTTGATCTCAGGGTTGTGAATTCAAGCCCCACGTTGGGAATGGAGCCTACTTGAAAAAAAAAAAATTAAAAAATATATAAAAGTAAAAAAGCCAAACAAACTTATATTCAAACAGGTTCGTATTTTGCTTGTTTTGTTTTGTTTTTACCAAAGCTGCTTGACTCACTCTGCCATATTTGAATACCTTATTGAGGGATATTTTAGGTGTTTTCAGTTTTTGGATTTATAAACAGTCCCAGAATGAACACTTTGTTCATACATCTAATCTTGTACTTTTGCAAAATGTATCTTGTAGGAGGCTTTTAAAGATTTTTTTTTTTTTGGTGGGGAGACACATTTGTCCAGGAAGGTGGTACCCATCTGCAGCCCCATTAGGCGCCCTGAGTGCCACGTCCGCCACATTCATGACAAATGCTGGGTTATACTTCATATAAGCACCCTTACCAACCTGATGTGCAAAAGTCAGTATCTCGGCATTTTAGTCTGAATCTCTTTGAATTCTAAACAGGTTGAATATAAAGTGAGCAAATTTATTTTCCTTTCAGAAGCCCCTGAATGTGACTGTGATCCGCAGAGGGGAGAAGCACCAGCTTAGACTTGTCCCGACCCGCTGGGCAGGAAAAGGACTCCTAGGGTAAAGTATCATTTCTGTTCATTCATAAGGCAACTGTCGGTTGTCACCTAGATGTTTGCCAGACGTAAAGCCAGAGGGAGGAGGTGGGGGCCCCTGGGAAATGATGGCCTTCCCTGGATTGCCCGTAGAAACTCTTGATAAATACTTGTGGCAGGAATGAGATTGCAGGTCTGGAGGTAGAGGGAACCCTGGCCTCTCTGATTCTTTCATTAACTGAGCATTTGCTTTATTTTATTTATTTTATTATTTATTTATTTATTTTTAAATGTTTTATTTATTTCTAGGAGAGAGAGAGAGAGAGACAGTGTGAGCAGGGGAGAGTCAGAGAGAGAGGGAGTCACAGACTCTGAAACAGGCTCCAGGCTCTGAGCTGGCAGTCAGCACAGAGCCCGACCCAGGGCTCGAACCCACGAACCGCGAGATCATGACCTAAGGGAAAGTCGGACGCTTAACCGACTAAACCACCCGGGCACCCCACATCCATCCTTCTTTAAAAAAAGCCAAATGAGGGGTGCCTGGGTGGCTTAGTCGGTTAAGCGTCCGACTTTCGCTTAGGTCATGATCTCGTGGTTCGTGGGTTCGAGCCCCGCGTCGGGCTCTATTTTATTTTTTTTTTAATGTTTATTTATTCATTATTGAGAGAGAGTGTGTGAGGAGGGAAGGGGCAGAGAGAGGGGGAGACAGAGAATCCAAAGCAGTCTCCATGCTGTCAGCGCAGAGAACCAGGCATTTGCTTTAAAAGAGTGTGGGTGAAACACTCAGAGGGCTCCCTTTCTGATCTTCCTAAATGGGGCCGCTAAGCTTACGTTGTTCCTTATTCTGTTTTTCTTCCAGCTGCAATATTATTCCTTTGCAGAGATGATTGTCCCTGGGGAACAGTAATAGGAAAACATCTTCCCTTGCCCTGGGTTTGGGTCTGGTGAGGATTTCTTCCTTCTCTTCTCTCCCCGAAGCTTAAGGATCTGGAAGAGGCTGGAAGCCTGAACTGGGTGGTGGAAACAGTGTGACCTCCCAGCATGATCTCTTGGGATTAAGACACTGTTAACTTGATTTGTACTTGGCATCTTTTGCAAATTAGGCCATGATCCTAAATGGGAGCCGTCTGGGTTGTGGGGAAATGGGCGGGAGTTTTTCTGGCAGGTGCTGATATGTCTTTATTCTTTTAGGACTTTCCCCCCCAAATAAACACAGGTTTATTGTACTGATATGACCATGTTATCACCCCAGCTGAATTTCTTGAGGGAACCTCTCAAACCAAAGCTCAGACAGGAATTAGAACATAATTATAGAAAGTTGGGCAAGGGCGCTGGCTGGCTCAGTCAGTGGAGTATGCAGCTCTTGGTCTCAGGGTTGTAGGTTCAAGCCCCACGATGGGTGTAGAGATTACCTAAAATAAAAAATCTTAAAAAAAAAAGTGGACAGAACAGGGGCACCTGGCTGGCTCGATCGGTAGAGTATGCGACTCTTGATTTTGGGGTTCTGAGTTCAGGCCCCACAGAGGGTGTACAGCTTACTTAAAAAAAAAACAAAAAAACAGAGTTGGAGAAAACAAACCAACAGTGGTGCTGAAGTCAAGATTAGACCAACAATACTTCGGGAACGTCATCCTTTAGTGAGTGAGGTTTCCAAACACTCAGGCTGCACCATCTGCATTTGCATGGCTGCTCTGGATACAGAAATCCCATCCTCAGCAGATGGACCGGCAGTTGGACATCCCAGGCTGAAACTGCTCCCTTGAAGAAGAGGGAAAGCCAGGAGGCTCCCCAGGTAGCCTGCCATGGTGTCAGCTTCCTCCTCTGTAACCCACCAGAGGGCAGCAAGCTCCCTTTGTTTCTGAAATCAAACAAACAAACAAACACCTTGCAAATTATCTTCTAATTTGACTTTATAATTGAACCTCCTGGTCATCTGCTCAGATCAACAGTAGCTTGTACACTGCCAAGGTGTGCTCGACTGCTGAGGGGAACCAGCCGTGGGTGCTGGTCTGACTTCTTGGAAAGGCCATGCCTCCTTCCTTCCTTTTATTTTCTCTTCCACGTGACAACATGGGTTTCAGTGATTCTTAGTGACCCTGTGTCTTCTCTCTTCCCCGTATCACCATGTTTATCTCCACAGTCTCTGCAGACCATTTGGTTTCGGAAGTGGGGGTGGCCCATTCTGCTGAGGCATGCCTGTGTTTCTTGGGAGTGGATTTGCTTGGGTTGGATACAGAAACCAGCTTGCCTTGATGGGAGTTAGTACTGGGGTGTGTGTCGAGCCACGGATTCTCTTTGATCAACTGGAAAGCCTTCCCGTTGAGTTCTTCCCCCAAACTCTAGCTTTATATCCACACGCACCTCCCTCCCTGTAGGCACAGACATGCCACGCTTACCAGTGTTTGCTGTTTAAATTGTGTGTTCTGATTCCAAGTGTGTTTTCCAATCTCTTTATAAACCCTAGTTTATAATAAACACAGCTTATACCATTCAGTTTGATCCTTTTTTTTTTTTTTTTTTTTTTTTTTTGTGATGTATGCTTATGAATCACCCAGCATTGGGGCTTGGGGCTGGGGGTAGGGAGCATCATTCACATTCTCCTAAGCTGAAAGCACCGAAGAGTTTTCTGCATCAGTGCCTTTGTCTGGCATCCTGCCAAGTTTCCCTTTAGAAACTTCAGGATGGCCACGTGTGCTGTCTCTGTGAGATTCCGAGAGCCACTTTGAAATGATCCCAGTCGGATTGAACCAAGCTGGTTCTGCAGAAACATTTTGTGATCAGAACAGCAAGATAATGTAATCTGTATAGGGTGTCATCCCAGCTCGCAACAACACTGCGCACAACATGTAGAGAAAGTGGGGGCCAGATCTGTGTGCGGCATCTGAGAAACCGGGAAATTTAGTTTGCTTTTGGCAAAGAGAATTTTACCAAACAGCGCATATTTCTTTACTCCTCTCGTCAAGCCTTCAGAAAGTCAAAACTGCAAGCATCGAGGGCTGCAGCTTCTCAGACTTAGGCGCCTTGGGAAAACGTTGGGAGTAGAAAAGAAGAGGCAAGGAAAAAGGCCGATTTCGCTGCCCGAGTCGCGGCCGCGCCTGTTCCCCGGGGACCGCCAGGGGGCGTGCCAGCCCGCTCGCGGCAGAGCCTTGGGCACGTGACCACCGCCCAGCCCTCCCGCTTTACGGCCGGTCGCCGAGGCGGCTGTTACCTTGGGGACGGGGCTTGGGTGACAACCGTAACTAAGGAGCGCGTGGAGGAGAAAGCTACGGCCGCTGGAGGCAAGGGAGGTGTCCAGGGGTCCAGGCGGCGGGACCGCCGGGCCATTGAGGCCCACGGAGGGCGCGCTCTGTGAGTCGGGGGCCGGGGGTCCTGGCGTGGGAGGGCCCGGTGCCCCGCGGGGGGCGCTCGCCCCGCCGGGCCAGGCCTGGGGCGGCCTCGGAGAGACCTGAGCTGGAGGAAGGAGCCGCGCCTGGGCGTTGTGACCCCCACATACGTCCCCCCCCAACACCTTCCTTCCACCTCTCGCCTGACCCCCCGCATCAGGATGCGCTGGCAAAGTTTGCAGTCGGCGCGGGCCTCGTGCTAAGGGCCCCGTGCTGGAAAGCATAGCAGTGATTTTTGAGATGGAGGGACCAAGCCAGAGAGGTCCGCCTCTTTCTAGCTGTGTGATCTGAGTACGTCCATCAACTCCCAGAGCCTCACACTCAAGTTTGTCAGGAGGAATGCATGAGAGACTGTGTTAGAAGGCTTTCAAACTTCGTAAACTATCGCCACCTTTCTCAGCCGCTCTGCTGCGGCTGCGTTGAGCACTTTACATATGTCATCTCAACCCCAGAATTTAGGGCTCTCATTTTTATTTTGCCTGTGATCGAATTTGGACTCTGAGGGGTATAGTGACTTGCTCAAGGTCACAGAGCAAGTGAGTGGTGGAACTAGGATTCAGTGCTAGGAGAGCAGTGAATATATATATATAATTCAATATATATATATAATATATATAAAAAAAAGAGAAATTCAATATATATAATATATATATAATTCAATATATATAATATATATAATTCAATATATAATATATGTAATTCAATATATAATATATATAATTATGTATATTATATATAATTCAATATATATAATATATAAAAATTATATATAATATATATAATTCAATTATATATAATATATAAAAATTATATATAATATATATAATTCAATATATATAATATATGTAATTCAATATATATATATTGAATTAAAGGGCTCTAAAGTTATTCCTAGAAAGGTGAGAGGCCCTGGGATCAATAGGTTGAAGATTTGGGACAGTCTTTCCCAGAAGTATGACATTATTTTTATTGCTGTGGAAAGGAATCAGAGCCAGCGTTGCGCTATTCATCGATAGGTTACTGCACCAGGAAATTAAAACGGGAAACAGAGGGAACTGCTAATTGTTATGGTTAACATTTCTCTAGAGGAAATTCTACAAAGAAGAATGTCAGGTGCAGGGGAAGACCCACTAGAAGAAACAGAAAAAGATGGAGACACAGAAATGGAAGAAGAAGAAGAAGAAGAAGATTATAGTTCATATTATAGAGAGGCAGAAAGCATGCTGCAGGAGTTGAAGGAAGATGATATATTGGAATGGGGAAAGCCTTGGGAGGAGGAGGAGGAGGAAGAGGAAGGAGAGGAGGAGGGGGAGGAGAAGGGCGGGGTGGAGGAGAAATGGGAAAAGGTGGAGGAAGGGGAAGAGGACTGGGAGGAAGAAGGGGAGGAGGAGGAAGGCGTGGAAGAGAAAGGGGAGGAAGAGGAAGAAGAGGAGGAGGAGGAGGAGGGAGAAGGTGGGAAAGAGGAGGCTGTCAGAGAAAAAAGGAAGGAAAGGGCTGCAGCGGTGAGGGCAGAGGTAGCTGCGGGCATACAGGAAGAAACCACAGCGAAGCCCCAAGAAATCACCAAGTCCAAGATCAGTGTGAAGAAACTTCCATTGACGGATTCCCAGGCAGGAACTTTTCTAGTAAGTAGTAATTGTAAGTCATTCATTCACTCATTCATTCATAATCACTAAATGAACACTTACTATATGCCAGGCTATGGGGATACAAATAAGATATAATCCATTCTCTTAAGGAATTCTAGGGTGTATCAGAAGGCAGACCTGAACACTATAAAACAATATGCTAACTGCCATGATTGAAAGATGCAAGGAAGATATTTAAAAACAAAACAAAACAAAAAACTGGGACACTTAACCCAGCTTGGGGGATGGTCAGGGGAAGCTTCCTGGAGGAGGTGTGCACCAGAGCTGATGCAAAGAACGGCTAGGGATTAGCTGGAGTGTGCTTGTCTGAGAACACAGTCAGTGTGTTTATAGTGATGTAGGCTTTCCACTCCCGGGAGGAGAACTCAGCCGTGGTCCATGGAGAAGTGACCACTCCGTGACCACTCTGTCCTCAGAGAGGACCAGTGCCACTTAGAAGAATGATTCTGCTGTGTGGTTCTACTAGTGGGCCAGGAATAAACCTGGCACACCCATGACTTAGGTTATTTAAGTACAAAATGTCCCAGGCTCCTTTTTAAAGCACTTCATGGTTCCCATGTGAAGCTGACACAAGACTGGCTGATTAGGGATAGAAAGGAACATTTATGAGGAAATGCCGCAGCACATACTGTAACTGAAACCACAGTCTTCTTTTTTAAGAGAACTCATAGTGGTAGTGAGTCAAAGCGTGCATCACAATCAGAGCATTTGGAAACAAACGAGCTTTTTAGAGACTTGAGCTCACAACTAAGATTTCGTGATTTGGATCAAAGCAATTCTGAGGAATTACAGATTCATTCCTCTGACTCGCAGCCCTCCAGGAAGCTCGGGGAGAATGCCGACCAGCTGCCCCAAGATGAATTGGGACAAGGAGGGACAGATTTGGAAACAGAAAAGGGAGAAAGGATACAAGACAAAAGATCATCATACTTAAGTGAGGAAAAAGAAAAAGAATTCCAGCCCAAGACGGAGATGCCAAAGGATTCACTGGTGGCCACCAGCAAGGACATTCTGTTCCAAAACAATGACAGAGCCAACGCGTACCCTCTGGTGAGTGTAACACGCTTTTTGATTTCCTCCAGAGCTTGGAGAGCATTGTGAAATAGGGGAATTTTATGCACATGGAAAAAAAATACCACCAGAAAGATCCTTTTTAAACTAATAATAGACGTGTGTTTTCAAGTTCGGTTCCGCGCTCTGGCTGGACCTGAGTGGCAGAGCACGACAGGAACACCACATCCGGGTCCCATAGTGTTTCCGCAGGCAGGAAATTCCGGACGTGGTTCGTCTGTTGCACAGGGTGCTGGCTTCTGTGGAAGAGTCAAGCTCCGTCTCTCCTCCCCCCTCCCCTCTCTCCTCTCTCTCACGTTGTGCTCTTCCTCCTCCATTCCTTTCCCCTTTCCCCCCTCTCCTCACTTCTTCTGCCTTAGCTTGCTTGATACCTTTACAGGCTCCTAAAGCCATTATAGGCTCCCAAAACTATCCATTCCAAGATGGGTCAGAAAGTGAAAGGTAAGGACCGGGGCACCTGGGTGGCTCAGTCAGTTAAGCAGCAGGTCATGATCTCAAGGTTTGTGAGTTTGAGCCCCGCATCAGGCTCTGGGCTGAGAGCTTGGAGCCTGGAGCCTGCTTCAGATTCTGTGTCTCCTCTCTCTCTGCCACCCCCCCTTGCCCCCTCTCAAAAATAAACATCAAAAAATTTAAGAAAAAGTGAAAGGTATGGAAAAAAAGTGAAAGCCACTGTGAAACACACCAGGCAGTCCAAAGGAATCTGCCTTTGCCGCCAGTGACAATATTCCAGAGAGGCGCCATCTGCGAGGAATAAAAATATTATCATTTACCAAGAGAAGGGAGAGCAGTTTTTCCCCTCCTTCCTCCATCTGCTACTGAAAACTGCCTTGTAGAATACATCTCCTGTGTTTCTTTTTTCCCTGTAGAGTCGACCCTTGGAAGATTTCTAAGTGACTGAATGTATACAAAGTGTTTAATGTAGCTCCGAACACACAGGGCGCACTTGAGTGTCAACAAGTAGATGATAATGACAGTGGTGGTGATGGTGATAAGGATGAGGATGCTGGAAAATGTCTAGTGAGAAGTGCAGACACCTGACAGCCTCCTTTCTGTACATTTGGCTTACTTTGAGCGGTGGAGTTCAAGGTCAAAGCTTGCGATTGTTCTGTCTGAAAGAAAGAATATTTAAGTTTTAGAGCCCTTGAAGACTTTTGTGTTGTTTAGCCAGCTAACAAGACATCAGGTAATAGCACTAATGAGACCACATGACCATGGTGCCTGGGGTTAACCTTGGGCTGACGTCAGAACCAAACCTCCCTCCACGCTTTGAGTACACCTTCTTTCTTTTCCCGTTCCTGTATTGTTTTCCCTTTCTGTTAAAATTAATAGTTGCTTCTTGTATACATAAAAAAAAAAATTAAGCAAAGCAGATCCCCCTTCTCTCACTGACCGCGCCCATCCCAGTTCCCAGAGGTGACTACTGTTACGGTTTGGTATAACTGTGGATCTTTCCAGACCTTTTTCTGTGCATCTACAGACCTGTTATCTGTGTGATTCCATGAACGTGTGTGCACACACATCACTGCACACATTAGTTTTTGTGCTCTTTACCAGTGAGAGATTCTGCATGTCTGCAGAGTGTTTTTCCACATTAAGTGGAATTAAAGATTAAGATATATTAAACATCTTGGAAGATTTTTTTTTGTATCAGTGAATGTAGATCTATTTCCTCATTAAAACATTTTTAAAAAATGTTTGTTTATTTTTGAGAGAGAGGCAGAGCATGATTGGGGGAGGGGCAGAGCGAGAGGGAGACACAAAATGTGAAGCAGGCTCCAGGCTCTGAGCTGTCAGCACAGAGCCCAGTGCAGGGCTAGAACTCATGAACCATGATGTCATGACCTGAGGTGAAGTTGAACACTTAACCAACTGAGCCGTCCTGGCGTCCCCATTTCCTCATTTTAAATTCAGTCGTTTCACTATTATTGATGGCCATTTATGTTCTTTCTGATTTCGTGTTCTCAGCAGAGGTGCTTCAGTGACTGCTTCTGAATCTATCTCTGTGCCCGTGGTACTGTCCTTTTCCCTTGGGGTCCCCTGCCTCATCCCAAAGGCCTGGAATAACTCACAGTGCTCATGGTAAATAAGCATAACCATGGATACTGTCTCCAGCCAAGAAAGAAGGGTCTCCTGCATTTATGAGAGGAATCTTGTGACTGTCAAATGTAGTGAAATCTGGTTTCGACAATAACGTTTTGTTTTCATGTTTTAGAAGAAGATTGCCATAAGAGATGGCTATGTGCGTGCTCAGTCACCACGCGTGCAAAATGCAGTGAATACTGTGTGGTTTCAACTAATGTGAGCACTGCTTGAGCAAGGAAGTTCCGTTATTACTGAATGAATGAGTTATTAAAAACCTCTAAACACTTAGCCATCGCCTTAGACACCACCACATTCGATTAATTCACCTTAGTAAATTTTTTAAAGCTTATTTATTTTGAGAAAGAGAGAATGTGAGAATTGGGGAGGGGCAGAGAGAGAGACAGAGAGAGAGACTCCCAAAGCCTCTGAGCTGTCAGCACAGAGCCCCACCCAGAGTTGATCCCACGAACCATGAAGTCATGATCTGAGCCGAAACCAAGAGTTGAATGCTTAACTGACTGAGCCACCCAGGCGCCTAGCGTTAGTTAATTTTTTAAATGGACTGATTTTTTTATTTTTTATTTTTTATTTATTTTTTATTTTTTTTTTTAAGTATTTTTATTTATTTCTAGGAGAGAGAGAGAGACAGCGTGAGCAGGGGAGGGTCAGAGAGAGAGGGAGATACAGACTCTGAAACAGGCTCCAGGCTCTGAGCTGGCAGTCAGCACAGAGCCCGACGCGGGGCTCGAACCCACGAACCGCGAGATCATGACCTAAGCGAAAGTCGGACGCTTAACCGACTAAGCCACCCAGGCGCCCCTGGACTGATTTTTTTAAAGTAATCTCTGCACCCAGTGTGGGGCTGAAACTCATGACCCTGAGGTCAAGAGTTGCATACTCTACCAACTGAGCCACCAGGCGCCCCTAATTGGACTATATTTTTGAGCAGTTTCGGTTTATAGCAAACTGAATGAAAAGTAGAATTCCCATCTACTCCCTTGGGCCTCCTCCACCCCTAGGTTTGCCTTTCATTAATATCTTGCATTAGCGTGGGACATTTGTCACAGTGGATGAGCTGATATCGAGCTGTTGTTGTTATTTTTTAAAATATTTATTTATTTTGAGAGAGAGAGAGAGAGAATCCTAAGCAAGCACAGAGCCTGACACAGGGCTTAAACTCACAAACGATAAGACTGTAGCCTGAGCTGGAAGAGTCAGATGCTTACCCTGCTGAGCCCCCATCTTAACCATTTTCCAGTGTACAGTGTACTGGTAAATACCTTCTTCACACTGCGCTGCAGCCAGGGCCGGGAACTCATCTCGCAAAACCAAAACTCCCTCCCCGTTAAACAACATCTTCCTATTCCCCAGCCCAGCCCCTGGCCACCACCATTCTACTTTCTGTCTCTGTGGATCTGACTCCTCTAGGGACATCACATGTAAGTGGAATCACAAAGTCTTTGTCTTGTTGTGACTGGTGGATTTCACTTACACGATGTCCTCAAGGTTCTTCCATGTTGCAGATGTGTCAGAATCTCCTTCCCCTTGAAGACTGAATAGTATTCACATTTTGTTTGTCCATTCATCCGTCGAGGGACACTTGGGTGGCTTCTACCTTTTTGCTTTTTTAAAATGTTTGTTTATTTTTGAGAGAGAGATAGAGACAGAGTACGAGCCGAGGAGGGACAGAGAGAGAGAGGGAGACACAGGATCCGAAGCAGGCTCCAGGCTCCGAGCTGTCAGCACAGAGCCCAATGAGGCTCAAACTCACAGATGGTGAGATCATGACCTGAGCCAAAGTTGGTTGCTTAACCAACTGAGCCACCTGTCCCTACCTTTTGGCTTTTGTGAAAGATGCTGCTGTAAACCTGGGTGTATGAATGTATCTTTGAGACCCTGTTTTCAGTTCTTTTGGGTATACACACAGAACTGTAATTGCTGTAATATATGGTAATTTTGTTTTCAAGTTTTTGAGGAATCCCCGCGGTGTTTCCACAGAAGCTGAGCCATTTCACGTTCCCACCAAGAGTGCATCATCGTTCAGTTCCTCTACATCCTTGTGGAATTACCTGTAAACATTAAAAAAAAATTTTAATTTTTTATTTATTTTTGAGACAGAGAGACAGAGCATGAGTCGGGGAGGGACAGAGAGAGAGGGAGACACAGAATCTGAAACAGGCTCCAGGCTCTGAGCTGTCAGCACAGAACCCGATTCAGGGCTTGAACCCACGAACCGTGAGATCATGACCTGAGCCGAAGTCACACTTAAGGCTGAGCCACTTAGGCACCCCCCGTAAACATTTTTTCAAGTTTATTTATTTATTTTGAGAGAGAAAGAGCAAGCAGGGTAGGGTTAGAGAGAGAGAAAGAGGGAGAGAGAGAGAGAGAGAATCCTAAGCAGGCTTTGCACCATCAGCGCTCAAACCCACCAACTGTGAGATCATGACCTGAGCTGAAATCAAGAGTCGGACGCTTAACCAACTGAGACACTCAGACGCCCCAGAATTTACCTTCTAAAGTGTACAATTCATTGGGTTTTAGCCTGTTCACAAGGCTGTGCAACCATCAGGACTAGGCAGTTCCAGCATTTTTATCCCTCCCCAAAGAAACCCATCCCCCTTAGCAGTCACTCCCCAGCCCCTCTTCCAGCCCTCCAGCCCCTGGCAGCTGCTCATCCACTTTTTGTCTCTGTGGATGGAATCACACACCGTGTCTGGCACCTTTCACTCAGCGTCATGGTTTCAAGGGGCATCCATACTGTAGAACGTGGCTGAGGACTTTCTTGAAGTGATTTCTCTTCTTTGGACCTGATGATGTGAACTCTTTCTCCTCCAAAGTCTGGGCCAGGCGCTCCTGGCGTCCCAGCTCTGGGCTCGGGCACAATAGTGTCTTACTGGCTTCACCTTTGTCTTCCAGACCTTGACTTGGTCTTTCGGCTGGAACAGTTCTCTTCCTGTTTACTACATTCGAGACGAAAACCAGAGAGTTCTTCTGTATGTCTGTGCTCACAATGCAGTCATCTACAATGTTTTAGAGAATAATCAGCACCATCTTCAGGTATGCAAGGTTGTCTTTTTTTTTTTATTATTACAAGTAAAAGAGGTTGTCTTTCACTAGAATATAGCATTTTGTTTTTTATTGCAAGGGCTGACTTCATTCTATCACTCTCATGTTTTCCTGCCTTCTCAACTATAGCAAATCTTATCTTTAGAAACATAGTTTATTATTACTCATTGTCTCTCTGATCCTAATCAAAATCAATTAACAAATAGCAATTGATTTTAATTTTATAGCAACAAGAATTTAAAGGATCTTTTTTTTTTTGCATTACCCTAAAAATGTGATCAGGGGAGATCATGTTGTCTCCACAGATCCAGGGGGAACGCAAAAGGCTTCAGCAGGGATTCGAACCTTTTGCAGGTTTAAAAGTGCATTCGTTGATCTTCATGCTGAGAAGTGGGTGTTAATATCCCCATTTTACAGAAGAAAAAACTGAGGCTCAGAATAGGTTAACTGACTTGCCCAAGACTGCAGGTGAAGCCAGGACTTGAGTCTGGGTCCCCTGACTTGAAAGTATTGAGGAGGTTGGTTGTCTTCCTGTCCCTTCCCCCCTTGAGCACCTTCATTTATTTTCAGTGCCCTCTGTGCCTCCCTGAGTGTCCCACATGCCTGCCCTCCCTCCCCCCACCACTCTGCTTCCTCCATTCCTGACATTTCCATCATTTACCTGACCAAATGTCCTCTTTTCTTGGACTTTCCTGACTTTCCACTTGTTAACCGGGTAAACAGTTCTGTGTTACCCTTTTCAATGGACATATATTTTAATAAGGACCTTCCTCAATCAATATCTTGGTCAGAAGCATCACAAAGGATTTTCCAAAAGCCCATTGTGCCAGGGATCCAAGCCATGGTGGGTGCCGCTGGAGGAAGTTGCTCTCTAGAAGTCCAGAAACAGACACAAAACCAGCCAGCACCCCTCCGCGGGGCTCAGCTGGATGTGTGGCACTGAGCACAGTGGTAATGGCACAGGGAAGAGGGAGAGCTGGTGTCTGCGGAGTCAGCAAGCGGCAGGAGTGGACAGAGGGGCTGAGAAATGAGGACCATGCCAGGCAGGTGTCCAGCCCCCTTCAGAGTGAGCTGGCTGGGAATGGCCTTGACCATTCATTCATTCATTCATTCATTTCAGATATTTCTCAAAACCTCTGTGTTTCAGATTCTGGGTCTGTAATCACGAACAAAACACCCCACCTCATGGAGCTTACAGTCTCATAAATACGTAATTACGAGTTATAACAAGCCCTTCAAAGGAAATGTGGGAATGCTGTAGGGGAGAGGTCAAGAGTGAGAGCCGGACCTCAGGCTGGGTTGGCTGAGAATGTAGACATGCCCTTTTGGTGGAGATCTGACTGATGAGAATGAACCAGCCAGGGACAGGTTGGGGAGGAGTATTCTAGACTGAGTTTGCAGGCCTGGGCAGGTCTGGGTGTGGGGCCCAGAAAGGAGGCCAGTATGGCTGGTGCAGAGTGAGCGAGGAGAGATGAAGATGGGAGGAAACAGGCTATTTCCTGGCAGGGAGCACTACCATTTTGTCTGTGTTTCCAGAAGATTCCAGAAGTTATGGGGAAAGGATTGTAGGGGGCTAGGAATGAAAGCAGATAGACCAGCGAGGAGCCTTTTGCTCCAGAGCTCCTCAGTGACCTGACGTGGACACTCTTAGGGAGATGATGCCCCCAGGGAGGTTCCAGGGGACAGGGCAGAACCCCAATATTTATTCTCAACCTGGGTTCAGAGTTGGGGACATGCCTACACTTGTAGGAAGCCAATGTTCTTTGGGAAGTGGGGCTTATCCCGGTGTTTTGAGGGAGAGAAAATGTGAACACCGCTGGCTATGGAGGAATGCCAGGGAAAGCCGGTGGGCATGGAGTTTTCAGCCAGATGAACCTGGAAGGGGAGCTCCGTTCTCTCTCTGGGGCCCCAGCCACTCCTAGCAGTGCCAAGCCTGGGTCGTGTCCTTGACGCTTCAAAGCATTTTCTCTCCATTTCTTCAGGGCCACCCCAACATGATCTCCTGCCTCTGCGTCAGTGAGGATAGGCGGTGGATTGCCACGGCCGACAAAGGGCCCGACTGCCTGATAATTATATGGGACTCCTTCACAGGGTAGGCTGGGTGCCGTCATGCTTTCTCCTGCTTAGTGTCATGCGTCTGCCCCGGCACCCAGGACGGGTGAGCAATGCCGGCCTGGGCGTGCAGAAACCAGGGATGGGATGCGGGCCGAGGGGCGAAGTGGCCTGGGGAGGCTGGCCATCTTGTTGCCTTGAGTGACATTACCTTGGTGAATTTCCCGCTTACAATTCTTGGCTGTTGAGGCTCAAAACCTTCGTTTGGCGGCGTCCCAGAGTAGACGGGGCTGAGGGAGGTTAACTCGCACAGACCCAGCTTGGAGGCCCAGAGAAGTGAAGGGACTTTCCCCACCTGCGAAAGGAGGAGGCTCCTCACACCTGCTGTTGTAGTCTTCTTGGGCTGCTCTAAGAAATCACCACATGCCGAGGGGCCTAAAATGACAGCAAGTTGTTCCCTCACAGTTCACGAGGCTGGAAGCCTGAAATCGGGTTGCCTGCGGGGGGGTACGTTCTGGGACTCCGAGCAAGAGTCTGTTCCAGGCCGCTCTCCCAGCTGCTGCTGGTGGCTGGCAGCCCTTGACGGTCCTTGGCTGGTGGACTGGTCACTCTAGTCCCTGCCTCTGTCTTCATGTGGTATTTTCCGCTGGTGTCTCTTTGTGTCTTCTCTTCTGGGAGTTCAGCAGTCATTGAATTTAGGGTCCATCCTAATCCAGTATGACTTCTTTTTAACAAATGACATCTGCTAAGACTCTATCCCCACACAATGCTCACATTCTGAGGTTCTGGGTGGACATGACTTTTGAAGGGGACCCTTCAACCCACTACCAGTAGAGCACAGTACCTAGCCTGTGACAGATGCTTATATGTGAGTTTTCTTTCTTAATTCCTGGTCCTAGAGGCAGAGAGCACTGCTGGATTAGCTGACAAGATCGTAAGGCTCTGGTTGGGTGGGGGGTGATGTCAGGGTGGACGAGGCCAGTTGGGCTAGATTAGGAAGAAGGTGTGTTTAATGCTCTCGAGTGTTCTGGAAGGTTATATTGGATCTTCTAAGACACAAGTCCCCCAGGTGGCCGGGGACCTGCATAGGCCCATGCTGCCTAATCCTGGTCCTACTGGACGTCTCAGTGGCGTTTGGCACTCTTCGCTTCCTTGGCTTCTCTCAGACCACGTCTCCTGGTTCTCATCGGACTTACCGCTTCTTCTCAGACTCTTCTGGGTCTCTCTCCCTCTGGCCTTTCTTAACCGTGGCCTGAGGATGCATTGGTATTGTTCTCCAACCAGGAAGGAGCAGACCGGAGACTAGAAACCACACTGTCTTCATCTCAATGCCACCTCAACATTGTGGCACCTGGGTGGCTTAGTCAGATAAGCGTCTGACTTCAGCTTGTGTCATGATCTTGGGGTTTGTGAGTTCAAGTCCTGCGTCGGGCTATCTGCTGTCAATGCAGAGCCCACTTCAGATCCTCTGTCCCCCTCTCCCCAACCATCTCTCTCTCTCAAAAATAAGTAAACGTTAAAAAAAAAAACCACCTCAATACTTTCTGTTTTCACTGATGAGGAAGGTGCCGGAGGACATTTCACCTGGATGTCTCATGGTATCTCTTGCTAAAATGTCCCCAACCCCTGTGGCATCTCTTCCCAGGTGCTTTCTGAACCTAGGCCTGCAGCCCCTGCCCCCCTCCCCACCCCCCTCCTCCCCGCCCCCCCTCCCCCCTCCCCTCCTCCCTTCCTCCCCCCCCCCCTCCTCCCCACCCCCTCCCTCCTCCCCCCCCATCCTCCTTCTCCGCAGCTTCACTCTGCAGTCCAGCCTCGGGGACACTGATTGTGTTCTGTTGTAGCAAAGTATACGTAACATAAAATTGACCATCTTCATGGTTTTTAAGTGTATAATTCAGTGGCATTAATTGCATTCACAGTGTTATGCAATCTCACCACTATTCCCAGAACATTTTCATCACCCCCCCAAACAGAAACTCTGTGCCAGCAAGCCCCCCCCCCGCACTGCCCCCAATCTACTTCTGTCTCCAGACACCTGCCTGTTGCTAGTTCGTGTCATGGGATTGTACGTGGCTTTTGCGTGTGCCTTCTCTCTCTCAGCATGTTCCCAAGGTTATTCTGTGTGGTAGCCTGAGCCAGTGGTTCCTTTCTTCTTCTAGCTGCTCAAGGGTCCAGTGCATGGATATACCCGTTTTGCTTATCCATTCATCTGTTGATTTTTAAAAATCACTTTATATTTTTTAGATGTTTATTTATTTATTTTTGAGAGAGAGAACAGGGGAGGGGCAGAGAGAGAAAGAGCTAGAGAATTTCAAGCAGGCTCCACACTGTCAGCACAGAGCCCAGTTTGAGGCTTGAACTCATGAACCATGAGGTCATGACCTGAATCAAAATCAAGAGTTGGACACAGTGGACTGAGCTACCCTGGAGCCCCTAAAAATCATTTTATTAAAAAAACTTTTTAGTGTTTATTTTTGAGAGAAAGAGAGAAAAAGAGGCAGAGTAGGGGAGGGATATGGGTCGGGAAGAGGCAGGGAGAGGGAGACACAGAATCCCAAGCAGGCTTCAGGCTCTGAGCTGTCAGCACAGAGCCTGATGCAGGGCTCAAACTCATGAGCTGTGAGATCATGACCTGAGCCAAAGTCAGACACCCAACAGACTGAGTCCCCCAGGCACCCCCGTAAAAATCATTTTAATTGAAAGCTAATGTGTCCTTTGGCTACATCTCAAATCTTAGTCCTCTTCCTAGAGGTGCTCAATTTGGTGTATTTCCTTCCAGGACATTTGCTGTTGTCTTAAATACATGTATATGGGTATCGTCATGTATCATTTTGTGGTTTTTCTCCACAGCAGTCTTTTTAAAGTTTATTTACTTATTTATTTTGAGAGAGAGGGTGAGAGAGAGTGAGCACAAGTTGGGGAGGGGCAGAGAATGAGGAGACAGAATCCCACGCAGGCTCTGAGCTGTCAGCACAGAGTCTGACATGGGGCTCAAACTCATGAGCCACGAGATCATGACCTGAGCCAAAGTCAAGAGTCAGATGTTTAACCCACTGAGACTCCCAGGTGCCCCCTCCCTGCTTTTTTGTTTTTAGAGAGAGAGCATGAGCTGGGGAGATGGGCATAGGGAGAGAGAGAGAGAGAGAGAGAGAGAGAGAGTCTTAAGCAGGCTCTAAGCTCAGTGTGGAGCCTGACATGGGGCTCAATCCCACGACCCTGGGATCATACCTGAGCCGGAATCAAGAGTTGGATGCTCAACCGACTGAGCCACTCAGGCGCCCCATCTCCATAGCATTCCGAGCGTGATCTTTTCCCAAACCCCAAATCTGGTTGTGTTTCTTGCCTGCTTAAACCCACTGAGAGGCCGCCCATTGCCAACCCAGCCTGTGTCACAGGGAATATGCACCTTGATTCATAGCCATGGGAACACGTCCCCCAGAAAGTGAAACTCCCCGTTGACATGACTAGCTGTCATCTGTGGCTGTCACACCCGTTCAGCTGTAAGTACTGGGACATCCAACTTAACACACGAGGGAGCTATATCCGGAGACAGAGTCCACAGGCAGGAAGGTGGCCCCTCAGGTGTGTCTCTTCTCTGAAGCCGTCACTCACAGCTCCCTTCCCCAGGCACCGCTGGCCCCCTTGGAAAGGGTTTATTCTTTTGCTTTTTCTCTTGCTTGCAGAGCTGTCTCCCCCACTAGACTGGCAGTGACTCTGGCAGCGATTTTTTTTTCCAATTACAAAGTAAAATGCATCTGCGGTTACCAATTCAGTATGTCGATATGAGTTTTATGATATAGTAAAGATGACTTTGGGGCCCAGAAAAGATTATTTGGTTTTTAGAATTAATATTCACTTTATTAAAGTTATAAACTAAAACCCACAGTTTTTCCTTAAGCTTTTTGTTCAACTTATAAATCTTACTCCTTTTATAAATCTAGCACATTTTTGCAACTGCCTTGAAGGGGGTTTTGATTAATGTTTGGCCCCACTCACAAATTTGATTATTAACTCCTTTTAAGCATTTTAAAACTGCACTTAGAAATTGAATATATTTGGTTTTATCTTTAAGTTCTTTAGCAGTCTGATTAAAAAAATAAACCCTTTACCTATACTTAAGCAATTCTTGTAAATCTAATAAATTAGACATAACTATGGCAAATTTTAAGTTCTTGTAAGTATTCTAATATTGTTTATAAACCCAGTGCGATTTGAATTTGAAATCATAAGTCTAAATCAACTACAGACCTTAAATTAGAATCACAAATCTAATCCGTCAGAGACTCTGAGACGTTAAATTCTCTTAAACATCACAGTCCCTGAACAAAATGAACACATTCTCTTACCACAGATCTGTCTGCAGTGTAGGCCCAACGGACATCATCGTCTCTAGATTGGATTCTGAAAACCTGCAGGGATGAGACCCCTTTTCCCCCTGAGGGAATTGCTGTGGCATTTGTAGTAATGCCAGGACTGCCTTCCCACGTGAATTTGGGAGGTACTTCCCTGTGACAGGGAACAGCCAGGTCCTCAGCTGGGGCAGAGACTTGGTCCCGGTCAGTTGGGGCACCCGAGTGACAAGGGCTGTATAATGAAAAACAATGGGGAGCCATCAGTCCACTGTCCGTACCACCTGCTCTTCCAGGGCAAGTCAGGGACCCCGCCCCCCTCCCCCCCATCACTCCCATACTTGCTCTTGCTGTCTCCTGCCTGTCTTCGGCTCTATCAGACATTTAAATATCTAATTAAATTCTGCTTGTGCAGGGCCTTTGCTTGCTTCCTACGCTTCTACGGTCTTGCCAGTGACACAGTGTAGAAGTGAATGAGGAAAAGCAAACGAAAGTCCCTCCTCACCCAAACACATCTCCAGAGTCACCCTTGTGTGGTTTGCAGTCCATTCCTCCAGACTTTTCTATGCACATACATGCACACACACTCTCCCCCATTCAGGACGACGGTGTGTATACTGTTGCACAACTTGTTTTTTCACACAATTTGGACACCTTCCCACATCTACCTCATTCTTTTTAAAAGTGGCATATTTTTCATTATGCGGTTATGTCATAATATACTTTTTAATTTATTTTATTTTTGTATTTTATTTATTTTTAAATTTTATTTATTTATTTATTTATTTATTTATTTATTTATTTATTTAGAGAGCATGAGCAGGGGAGGGCCAGAGAGACAGAGAGAGAGAAAGAGAGAGAGAATCCTAAGCAGGCTCTGCACTGTCAGTGTAGAGTCTGATGTGGGGCTCGAACTCATGAATCGTGAGATCATGACCTGAGCTGCCTGAGTTCCCCCAACCCTGAGCAGCCACGGATCTGCTTTCTGTCCCTATGGATTTTCTAATTCTGGACATTTCCTCTTGATGGACTTATACAGTATATGGTCTTTGTGACCAGCTTCTGTCACTTCACAGGGTGTTTTTGAGGCTCACTTACAGCCCGTGTCAATGCGCCAGGCCATTGTATGCCTGGACCATGGTTTGTTTCTCCATAGCTGTTATGCTTTTGAAGTGAGTCCCTCTGGGAAGCAAGGCAGACCTCAGCAAATGCTCATTCCCTGGTCCCGTTTTGCAGCATTCCTGTGCACACAATATTTGACAGCTGCCCAGAAGGGAACGGCATCAGAGCCATCGCCATCACCTGGGACGCCAAGTATCTGGCGACCATCTCAGATGCTGAAATCCAGGTACAGGGCGCGTTGGGTCAGCCTCAGCCAGGCTGTCGAGTGTATCCCAGTGGGCGGCTCTGCGCAGGCTGCACGGCAGGTGTGATGCTCTGTGACCAGACTCCATGGCATCTTGTCAGGGGCTCTGTGCCCGTGGCTCAGCTCAGAGCGCTGTCCCCAGTTAACTGAAGTTACAGAGTTACCACGAGAGGCGTGGGGTACCTCTTCAGGAACTTTCTCATTCTCTTCTGTGTGCTGTTCAACTCACAGAAAGTTTGCATCTGGAGGTGGACTTTAGCAGTGGAAACACCAGCATGTACCCTTGACCTTCCCAAAGAGTATGGATTTCAGGTGAGTTCAATTTGAGTCTGTAATGCTCTGCCTGCAGTGACACTGAGCCCAGGTCAAAGCCGACTTTCTGTTTTACTAGAGTTTGATTACGGTGCACTAGAGGTTGTAAAAAAAAAAAAAAAAACAGTTTCATCTCCATGATCTCGTTTTATTTTTGATGATAGTGGCAATGTTTTTTTAAGCACTTGTTACGTGCCAGATTCTGCTAAGTTCTTTACATATAATCCATGCAAACATGCTGGGAAGGAGTTACTGCTTTAGTAAAGTCTGTGGAATGCTACTATTAATTGTTAGATAATTTGTCTGAAGTCATCAGCTAGCAGCCTTTCTGATTCTAGAGGCATGCTCTTAGCTGCTCTTCATATCGGGAAGTTATTATTAGTCTCAGTTTGCTTGAAGCAACTTGCCAAGGACACCCACAAAGTTTGCCCTGCCGTTCTGCCTTGTCTTACTCATACTTGCACCCTCCGGTCATCACACGCTTGCTGAGTGCCTACTATGCAGCAGACACTGTGCACGCTGCATACCTGGCTTGCAGGACCTGAGACCCAGTCAGAGGGGCCGGGTGACGAGGCTCCGCCAGGCATACATCATGCTGCAGCTTTATGTCCGTTTCTCTCCTTCTGCCCCCCAACTTTCCTCCGCTTCCCTGAAAAAAGTTTCCTTAGAGGTTTTCTAAGCTGAACTGAGAGGGTAGCCGCCACCCATGTGCGGGTTTCGCTATTGCTGCAAAAAAACACCTCTGGGATTTTGATAGAGATTACATGGAATCTATAGATCGCTTTGGGTAGTTATTGGTCTCTGAACAACCCATGCGTGCAAGATGTCTTTCCATTTATTATGTCTTCTTGAATTTCCTTCAGCAGTGTTCTATAGTTTGTAGTGTACAGATCTTTCACCTCAATTTATTATGAAGTATTTTTATGCCATCATAAGTGGATTCATTTTCTTTAAAATTTTTTTTTGATGTTTATTTATTTTTGAGAAAGAGAGAGACAGAGAGACAGAGAGACAGAGCTTGAATGGGGGTGGGGGAGGGGCAGAGAGAGAGAGAGGAAGACACAGAATCCAAAGCAGACTCCAGGCTCTGAGCTGTCAGCAAAGAGCCTGATGTGAGGTTTGAACCCATGGACCGCAAAATCATGACCTGAACCAAAGTCAGGTGCTTAGCTGACTGAGCCACCCAGGAGCCCCAGTGGATCTGTTTTCTTAATTTCCTTCTCAGATTGCTCATTGCTAATGCTGTCTATGGAAACTCAACTGATTTTTGTGGGCCAATTTTGTGTCCTGAAACTTTGCTGAATACATGTGGCTACTTAAGTTTAGGTCGATTAAAATGAAATACAGCTACAAATTCATTTCCTCAGTGTCACTACATTTCAAGTACTCATTAGCCACGTGTGGCTAGTGGCTGCCGTGTTAGACAGCACAGATTATTGAACGTCTCCATCATGCGGAAAGTGCTGTTGGACAGCTGTGCAGATGCCCCAGGGCTGGATGGACTCCGTGTCCAGACCGAGTGGCTGGACGTGTCTGGAGAGAGCCCCGCCAACCCAGCTCCTTCCTTCTATTAGGCTTTGGGTCACAAGTATGGAGCAAGCTCTCCACACTGCCTGGCAGTTCTGGGAGGCTGTCTTTTTCGTTTCTAGAGACAACAGCCTCACATCTTCTCCTCTTACCTCCCCGGTCCTTCCTCTTTACTCCCAGCTGATGATTTCTCTCACTTTTTCACTAAGAAACTGGGAGCCATGGGATGCAAACCCTGGCCTCTCTCACCCCTAGGCCTATGACCTGCCTCCACCCCCCCACCTTCTATTATCCGTCCCTGGGTGTATGCGAGCCCAGTGCACTGGGTCTCTCCCCGCTTACTCGTGACACACCCCTGCAGTGATCAGCTCTCCCTCTGCTTGGGGGTTACCCCCTCAGCAAACACAGAGGCTTCAGTCTTCCCCATCTTCAGAGAACGCTTCTGATGGGGCGCGTCCCTCCAGCTCTCGCCCTCTGCACCTCTTCACGGTAAGACATCTGAGAATAGCTGCCTGCACTTGCTTTCCAACTTCGTTATCCATTTGTGCCCAAATATTTGATCTCTATATATTTTCACTGCTAAAGAAGGCATCCATGCAAAACGTGTACAGTTTAAGGAAGAAAACAAAATGTACCTGTGTGCTCACTGCAGGGTCAAGTTAGAGGACATCATCCAAACCGTACGAGTCCCTTTGTCCTCCTTCCCCAGTCTCATCCCCAGCCTTGCTTCCTAAGCTTGACCAGTGTCCCAGTTTTGTGTACACACTCCCTGGCTTGCCTTTATAGTTTCCCCCTGCAAGGTACGTATCCCTCCGTACCATCCTATTCCGTTTCTCCTGTTTTAATCTTGACATATTTGGAATCATAACTGCTTTGCTCTCTCCACCTTGTTTCTGCAGTTCATCCATGTTGAACATTGAGCTATAATTCGTTAATTTTCACTGCTGTGTACCTTCTCCTTGTTTGAGTAGAATACAGCTTATATTTATCTGTCGTACAGTTGATGAACCTTTTGGTGCTTTTCATCTGTCTTCCACCCACCCATGGATCTACCAGAACTCTGCTTATCATAGTCCCCGGTGCTTCCAAGTCAAAGGAGCACTTTTAAATCCTCAGCTGCATCCCTCCCGGTGGGCATTTCCTGCTCTCTCACTGGCCTTCTTTCCTGGGCTCCTCTGTGGGCTCTTCCTCTTGCACTGCACACCTTCTAAGTGTTGGTGGTACCCAGGGTTTAGTCGTGGGAGCTCCTGCTCTTGCTGCTCCTTCTTCCTGGGTGTTCTCATCCATTCCCGTGGCTTTGAAGTACTGTGTACCCCCAAGGTACATCCCGAAGTCCTTCCTCCCCTCTCTGTTTCCACGGCCACCACATCCACCTGCGTGACTACAACATCCTCCCAGCTGATCTGGTGTCACTCTTTTTTTTTTTTTTTAATGTTTTATTTATTTCTAGGAGAAAGAGAGAGACAGCGTGAGCAGGGGAGGGTCAGAGAGAGAGGGAGTCACAGACTGAAACAGGCTCCAGGCTCCAAGCTGGCAGTCAGCACAGAGCCCGACACGTGGCCTGAACCCACGAACCGCGAGATCATGACCTAAGCGAAAGTCGGACGCTCAACCGACTAAGCCACCCAGGCGCCCCATCTGGGTTCACTCTTGACCACTGCTACTGACCTTCCTGCGGCAGCCGGAGTGGTATTAGTTCCCTTGCCTTCCCTTCCCTTCCCTCTTCCCTTCCCTTCCCTTCCCTCCCCTCTTCCCTTCCCTCTTCTCTTCCCTTCCCTTCCCTCTTCTCTTCCCTTCCCTTGCCTCTTCCCTTCCCTTCCCTTCCCTTCCCTCTTCCCTTCCCTCTTCCCTTCCTCCTTCCCTTCCCTTCCCTCTCCCCTTCCCCCTTCCCTTCTCTTCCATTCCCTTCCCTTCCCTTTCCCTTCCCTTCCTTTCTTTCTTTCTTTTTTTTTTTTTTTTAAAGATTTTTATTTATTTCTAGGAGAGAGAGAGAAAGACAGCGTGAGCAGGGGGAGGGTCAGAGAGAGAGGGAGTCACAGACTGAAACAGGCTCCAGGCTCTGAGCTGGCAGTCAGCACAGAGCCTGACGCGGGGCTCGAACCCACGAACCGCGAGATCATGACCTAAGCGAAAGTCGGACGCTCAACCGACTAAGCCACCCAGACGCCCCTCCCTTCCCTTCCTTTCATTTTCCTTCCTTCCTTCCTTCCTTCCTTCCTTCCTTCCTTCCTTCCTTCCTTCCTAATTTATTTACTTTTGAGAGACAGAGCGCGAGCAGGGAAGGGGCAGAGAGGGGGAGACACAGAACTGGTAGCAGGCTCCAGGCTCTGAGCTGTCAGCACAGAGCCCGATGAGGGGCTTGAACTCACCCAACTGTGAGAGCATGACCTGAGCCGAAGTCAGAAGCTTAGCCCACTGAGCCACCCAGGTGCCCCCAGAATGGCAGTTCTTGAGCAAAACACATTATATCCCTCTCTTAAAATCTTTCAGTGACTTCCCATTGTCATGTGAATAGACCTAAACTCCCCCTCCACCTGTCTCCTAACATCTACCCTCTTGTTTATTAATGTTTTATTAGTTTCCACACCCTAGAATTGTACAGAAATGGACTCTTTGTGGGGGGCTCTGATTTCTTTCACTCAAATTTATTTTTGAGATTCATCCATGTTGTTGCATGTGTCAACAGTTTATTCCTTGATATTATTCTTTATGTGTCCTTTATCATGTTAATGCTGAATGGCGTGTGTTGAATGGATGTGTCAAAATTTGTCTGTTCACTGTTGAAAGATATTTGCATTGTCTCCTGTTTGTGGCTGTTGAAAACAGAGCTGCGTGAACTTTCATGCACAAGTCTTTGTAGAGATGTATGCTTTCATTTCTTTTGGTAATTATCTTTGTTTTTGAAGGCTGTTTTCCCTAACTATAGGATTTTAGGGTGGTAGTTATCTTATTTCAGTACTTTCAAGATCTTATTCCATTGTCTTCAGACTTAGGCCATTTCTGTTGAGAAGTCAGCCATCAATCTTACTGTTCCCTCTTTTGAAAGTTATGTGTCTTTCCCCTCCTGCCCCTCTGGCTGTTTTTAAGATTTCCTGTTGCCTTTCAATAGGTTTTGTTTTTTTTTTAATTTTAAATAATATATTCAAAAAATTTAATGTTTATTTATTTTTGAGAGAGAGAGAGAGAATGTGTGTGAGTGGGGGAGGGCCAAAGTCAGATGCTGAACAGACTGGGCCTCCAGGTGCCCGGTTTTCAACAGTTTTTGATGATGTGTAAGTATGTATATGGGTATGTTGTTGCTTTAAAAAAAAAACAAACAAACCAAAATTAGGAGCTCCTGGCGGTTCAGTCCATTAGGCATCCAACTTCAGTTCAGGTCATGATCTCACAGTTCATGCGTTCAAGCCATGCATTGGGCTCTGTGCTGACAGCTCAGAGCCTGGAGCCTGCTTTGGATTCTCTATCTCCCTCTGTCTCTGCTCTTCAGCAGCTCATACTCTATCTTTCTCTCTCTCTTAAAAAAACTAAATAAATGTTAAAGATTTAAAAAAACCAGAAAACAAAAACAAAAACAAAAAACAAAACCAGGGCTCCTGGCTGGCTCAGTTGGAAGAACATAGTACTCTTGATCTTAGGGCATGAGTCTGAGCCCCACATTTGGCATAGAGATTACTTACCAAAAAACAAAAAAAACCTCCCACCTTAAAACCCAAAACTTATCTTTCTGGGTTTTTTGAACTTGGAATGTCATGTCTTTCCTCAGTTTTGGAAATTCTCCATTATTGTGTTTTTAAACATTACTTCTACCACATTTTTTTCTTTCCTCTCCTTCCGGTGCTCCAATTATACATACATTAGATATTTCCATCTTGTCATATATGTCTCTTCTTTTCTTGCCTATATTTTCTATTCTTTTGTGTCTTTATGCTTCAGTCTGGATACTTTGTCTTATAACTTACCTTCTTTTTGTACTGACTAATCATTTCTTTGGCTATGTTTAATTTTCTGTTAAATTCTATTTTGAGGTTGTTTTTTTTAAATGTTTATTTTTGAGAGGAGAGAGCAAGTGGGGAGGGGCAGAGAGAGAGGGAAACAGAGGATTTGAAGTGGGCTCTGCACTGTTAGCATAGAGCCCAGTGTGGTGCTCAAACTCATGAACTGTGGGATCATGATCAAAGTCGGGCGCTTAACCGACTGAGCTACATAGGCACCCATATTTTGAGTTTTTTAAAAATCATTTTTTTCAGACCTAGAATTTCCATTTGGTTCTTTTTAAAACTAGAGTTATCAGCTGAGATTACTCATCTGGCCCTCTGCTTTCTTGCACATACTAACCACGGTGTGTTGATGCTGTACTTGGATCTCCTGAGGGTCTCCCTCTGAACAATTGCTTTCCCCCTTGGTTTTCAGTTATTTGGATACATCTCTTTCATTTGCCTGGTTATATTTCATTGAATGCCTAATGTCGTGGTTTTAAATATAGGAATAATTTGAAGCTTGAAATGATAACTTTCTCCAAGGAAGACTTACTTTTGATTCTTACTGGCATCTGGCAAAGTTAATCTCTGATTAACTGATTAATCTCTGATTAACTGATTAATCAGAGATTAACTTTGATTAATTGAATCAGAGATTGAGTGATCTGAGGCTGATTTCCAGCCTTTGTGAAGTACACTTGCTTTTGTCAGTTCTTTGCCACCCCTCCTCCCCAAGCCTTTGAGTTGTCCTGCAATTACTTCTCAGACATTGGCACTGGGCTTTTACATTACGTTTTTTTTTTTTTTAATGTTTTATTTATTTCTAGGAGACACAGAGACAGTGTGAGCAGGGGAGGTTCAGAGAGAGAGGGAGTCACAGACTGAAACAGGCTCCAGGCTCTGAGCTGGCAGTCAGCACAGAGCCCGATTCGGGGCTCGAACTCACGAATCGTGAGATCATGACCTAAGCGAAAGTCGGACGCTTAACCGACTAAGCCACCCAGGCGCCCCTGGGCTTTTACATTCCTGAACTAGGCGAGGAATAGGAGATGGGGTGGAAATGGCAGGAGCGGAACTTAAGATGTCTTTCTTTCTTTTCTTTTCTTTCTTTTCTTTCTTTCTTTCTTTCTTTTCCTTCCTTCCTTCCTCCCTTCCTTCCTTCCTTCCTTCCTTCCTTCCTTCCTTCCTTCCTTCCTTCTTTCTAATGTTTGTTTATTTTTTAGAGAGCAAGTGAGCAGGGGAGGGGCAGAGAGAGGGGAACAGAGGATCCAAAGCGGGCTCTGCATTGACAGCAATAAGCCCAATGTGGGGCTTGAACTCACGAACCATGAGATCATGACCTAAGCTGAAGTCGGATGCTCAACCGACTGAGCCCCCCAAGTGCCCCAAGACGTATTTCTGGAACCCGCTTCCCAGGGCTGCCTCCTGCAGCCCTTCACCCCATGCTGTAGCCACCCCCACCCCCCACACACATACACGGGCAGGACTTGTGCCTAAGTCTCCCCACAGATTTCTGCTGTGTTGTTGCTATTTGTTTTAGTTCTTGCATTTCATGGTTTCCTCGCTTCCACAGTCGCTGCAGGCTTTTTGGGAAGGGAGCCAGGCAATGCGTGCTATTCACTGCTTTGGCAGAAATCAGAAACTCCTTCCAGTATTTGGCATTCATTCCAAGTTACCTTGTGGCCTTGTCAAATTTAGAAATGTGTATGCAGCAGTTTTTGTCCAAAAGGACACAGAGAAAAGGTTATTAGTGAATATTGTTCTACTTTTGCTTCTTTCAATTTACAGATGATGAATTATAATAAATAAGACTAAATAGGAAAGGGAACACATTTGAGACCATTAATTTTAACACTCAGTGTTTAAATTATATTCCTATTGCTTACAAAATGCCGTGTCTTTTCTGTTTTATATTCCTATCCAGCTTTTTATTATAATAAAAATATTATTTAATTTTAACAGTTAGCTTAACCAGAGAGAAACAGAAAATTTATTGTAATGTAATATATGTCCATACTTTATATTTCAGAACTACCTTACTTTTAATCCAACAAATAATAAAGAATTGGTGAGCAATAGTAAAACACAGGCAATATATTATTTGTGGGTAAGTAGAAATATTTTGATTAGTCTTAAATATGGGGACAAGTATGTGTTCATTCTGTAGTACAGATATATTGGTAATGTAACAATACAGTATCTACTTAGGAAACAATAAATATGTATTAAAATGTTTTGATTTCATTATATTTACTTTAGTTTCATTGATAATTAGTGTATTAAATCAGAAGCAGATAATTTAAATTTCATTACCTAAAAAATTACTTAAAACATTACCTAATGTTTTTAGGTAATGAGGCAAATATTTATTTGAATGTATTTAACAGGTTTAAAATAAAGGGTTTTTCAAGACCTTGGCTTTTATAGGGATTAGCAAACAGATCAGCAATATGTATACTGACACAGGGTGGAATCATGAGATTAAAAAAAACATCAAAAGCTAAAAATAAAATTACCATAGGACTCAGCAATTCCTAAATGTAAGAGAATGTAAAACAGGCATTCAAACAAATACCCACATACAAATGTTCATAGTGGCAGCATTATTTGCAATAACCAAGAGGTAGAAGCAAGCCATATGTCTGCTAGCTCACGAATGCAGAAACAAAATGTGGCAAATCCATACAGTGGAATATGACTCAGCCATAAAAAAGAACGAGGCCCTGACACCTGTGGCAATGTGGATGAATCTCAAAAGCATGATGCTAAATGAAAGAAGCCAGACACAGAAGCCATGTGCCGTAAGATTGCACTGATAGGAGATGTCCAGGACAGGAAAATCCATGAGACAGAGTGCAGAATGGTGGTTGTTGGGGGCTCGGGGCACAGCATGTGGGACTGCTTAATGGAGAGCAGGAGGGGGCTTCCTTTTGGGGTGATGAAACTGTTCTGGAACTAGACAGAGCTGATGGCTGCGCAGCATTATTAATGTACTAAATGTATTCATGTACTAAATGATAAATGGTTAATTTTATGTTATGTGAATTTTACCTGAGTTAAAAATGCAATACAAGGGGCGCCCGGGTGGCTTAGTCGGTTAAGCGTCCGACTTTCGCTCAGGTCATGATCTCACGGTTCGTGGGTTCAAGCCCCGCGTCGGGCTCTGTGCTGACTGCCAGCTCAGAGCCTGGAGCCTGTTTCAGTCTGTGACTCCCTCTCTCTGACCCTCCCCTGCTCGCGCTCTCTCTCTCTCTCTCCTATAAAAA